TCAGAGGGCATTGCGTTATGTGTGTGGTGTAGGGCGTGTTGGATTTCACACAGCACCCTTGGCCCTTCATCAGATTACGTGCAGCACAAGTCACACGGCTGCCAGAGATTCACACAGATTCACACAGCGGCCTCCTTCATCACGCCTGCCTGGGATTCAAACATTCAGTGCTCCGTTTGGTGCTCCCGGAGTTGCATGCTCTGCGCGTTCCAGTAGTCTCTCTCAGGCTGTGACAGCTGCCGCCACTTCAAGGCGATTTGCTTTGTATGCTCATGAGGCAGGGAGCTCTGTCCAGCTGCCGCTGCTTCTGCCTTCTGTGATTGCGTGAACAACATGTAGCCGTTTGGTACCTGCTTTGGCTTTGCCGCTTGACCACCCACGCTCTTCTTCCTGGCACGTGGATTTGTGACCTTCACAGCTGCTCCGCTATCTGTTATCAGCCTATAAAGGATCATGCCGTTTGCTTATGAATCTATCATGTAAGGGACATGCAACGACGTCAGAGGCAAAGGCCGCGGGGAAGTCAAACTCGAAGCCATGGAAGGCTATCTTCGCGCTCCGATTTAGCTGAATGTTCTCCTTTGGCCAATCAGTGAAAACTGATGTAGCTTTTACATGCAATCTTTAGCGGAGCGAGATATGTAAATTCATCTTACCCTGGAAAGGTATCTTTGCGCTCCGATTTATCTGAATTATCTCCTTTGGACAATCGATGTAGAATTGATGTAGCTTTTCAACGCTATTTTTTGCGGAGCAAGATATGTAAGCCCCTGACAGACAGACTGACTGACAGCAGTGAACACCTGGCTCGGCCCCCCGAATGGCGCTTCGCGTCCGGGGCCTCGCCCAAAAATGGAGAAAAAGCAAACAAGGTCCCAAACAAGGACAAGTCGGGTGTCGGCTTCCTCGAAGCCGGAAAAAAGCGGGCCCCCCTGCATCCGTACAGGCCGGTAGCTAGCGCAGCACGTGTGACAATTGATGGGTAGTGTCAAAGCGGTGGGAGACGTGCTTTGTTGCAGCAGTGCTGATGGTGTGAGAGCTAAGCTTGCACCGGCGGAACCGTCAGCACCGCCTGCGGGCTCCACGCGAATCGCATCCATCCCGGGTGCATGCCGCATGGACAGTGTGTCAGACCGCAAGTCGGAATGCCTGTGCGGGCAAATGGTAATGAAAGCTGGGTGAATTTCGGTGCTGTCTGTGATGTTTATCCCCGACGCGCCAGCGGCCTCAGCAATCCGCCCCACAGCCGCGGGCTTCATCGGGGCACACCGCAAGTCTCCGGAGGCCCCGAGCATTGGCTAAAGTAAATGTACATATGCTCAGCTTGCGTATTTCATAGAGAAATGTAAGCAAATTTGTCGGCCTGCTGGTGGCAAGTCGGAATGCCCGTGCGGGCAAATGGTAACACAAGCTGGGTGTTCAAGTTATCATACGCTGTCATCTCGGAAATCAATGATGAGTTACCCGGCACCTTTTTGAGATGAAATTTAGCCCGAGAGGCGTTGATGTGACTATGAGCTCGGTTAATGGAGGCAGCCAAAGTTGTCTGTGCTCATACGATCTTTTTTAGCTACATGCGAGATACCTGCAATAAAAGAATGCTATATAATACCGATAACGCGTTTCAGCCGGGTGAAATATTATGTTTGGTCCGTTACACACTCAGGCCTGGGAGTTCGAGCTATCATACGCCGTCATCTAAGAATTCAAATATGAGATACGCGGTACCTTTTGAGATTAAGTTTAGCCCGAGAGGCGTTGTGACTTTCGCGTTTCAGCCGGGCGAGATATTATGTTTGGTCCGTTACACACACACACACACACACACACACACAACACACACACACGGACATGGGCAATCCTACAGGTCGGGGGCCCCCTGGGCGCTTCGCGCTGGGGCCCCGCCCAAAAATGCTACCTTCCCTTCATGCATGACGGTGTAGCACGTGACAGGTATCTCAAGGAAAGCACCATGCTAATCGTTTTGGGTTCATCATTTAGTAAGTGTTGTTTTGCTTTTGTTTTGAATGCAGCCCCCATACACCCGCACAGCAAAGTCTCTGACCACTTCTTTGCCAATGACCGTCTATCGAGCCTGTTTACCAGGTCAAGCTTAGGTGCTGCACGGACTTGCCATGCCTCCTCATTATTAAGGCACTTACATGACCATCCCATTGCAGGCGCACTGTCTGTCTGCCTCATGTTGCATTACTTCACAATCAAGTGCCGCGTGCCAGGATCGACATCCTTTTCCCCTCCTCCATCCCACAGGTTCATGTCCAGGGCAAGGTCAACATGCAATCACACTACACTCCAATCCAGGAGGTCCATGCCAGCCTGTGCCACCTGCCCACAAAGTACACAATTGCAATGACTTCTCACACCCTTGCTTGCCAAACAATCTACTCATACAGCATCACTTTGCTGCCCCAGCACGCCTCCCTTCCTGAAAGCAGAACACCCACTGTTGAGCTGCAAACACCTCACAGCCAGCACCCCCAACAGCAGTCCAACACATGCAGGCCCGTTCAGAGATGCCAAGGCATGTATTCAGCCGTACACAAGTGTACACATATTCAGCCGTACAAACCTACTCCGCCCATGCTACCACTCATATCTGTAGCTGTTTCCTTGTACAACTCAGGGCACTTACAGATACATGCCCATCTGTGCCTATATCTACACAACCTGCAACACCAGCAAATGAGCAAATGCCCAGCAATGCCCAGTCCCCAGGTACACACCAGCTGCGAGCCCAACCGTTAACATGAATTTGCATGTCTAGAGGGCCCAATAAGGCATCATGCCATGGTGACCAAGACAAGC